GACGTAACATTTACACATAGCATGTTCCACGAAGGTCACTGAAATGTTATGTTAGTTGTGTGAAAAACTGCAAAAGAAAACTAGGACTGTGATAATACTCGAATTTAAAGTTATTGCAAGCTTTTAAAAACTAGATTAAAAAAATTAATTTAGTAGCACTTTAAATAATTTAATATGATTGAAATATATAGAGTACTTGAAGCATTTGAACTTTATGGACACTGACATTTAATCTCGATCATGCTAATACATTCGCTCGAAATATCGAATTCATATAACGAGTTGTTTCTATATTTCTATAATAATAATGCAAGTGATACAAACATTATTCGAATGCTCCAATTGTTAAAATTACCGTAACACGAAGCTCTCATAATTGAAGTGGAATTTCGCAAACCAATTATGCTGCATTAATGCAATTGTAAAGGGGGAAAAAAAACAATTGTATAGGAGATATGTTTTACCGTTACACAAACTGCATAGTAAATTATTCATTTATCGAGTGAACATTCTATAGTTTTTCGGACGTTTCTCGTGTAATAATCCAGTATGTTCATTGCAAACTGCATTTCGCTCGGTCGTACGAGCAGCTCGGGGCCATAGGATTAAATGCCGCAGCTTATGCAACAGTATATCGTACGATTGCGGACGGCGCTAACTAATTCAGGGTCGAACGAATTCGAAACTTCGTGTTCGGTATTAGCTTTCAAGACGGTCTTTACGCTCGCCGCTAATAACTGGATGTGACCACCATTAATTGATAAATATGTGTTGTTACAAAAAATCAATTTTTGCTTATGCGCAAAAATATCAAAGGAGAGAGCGACATAGAGAATTGCTAAACGTATTCAGAATCGATAATACAGAATATTCAACCGATGTTTGCAAATACGAATGTTTTGTGAGAATACAAATTGGAAATGGCTACATGTACGTTCGAGAGGCGCGTAACACGCATAATTCAGAAATATTAGCGATGGGCATTACGAGGTGTACAATATAGTAAATTTACCGTCCTATATTCGTGCGTGTTATTACCTCCTTTTACGTGTCCTATTGATATCCTACTGATTCGCAATTGTTACATCCGAATGCCTGTTACGTGCGGATTTGGCGGAAATATCTAAAAATTTAGCCAGATATAGATCCGAAAATAATTTGGTTGGACTGAAAATAATTTTGTCAGAATAATTGGAATCTCGAGCACGATGAATAATGCTGCAAAAACATGAACATTTTGACATTCTAGCAACTAGTTCGAGTGCCCTACATAATTATTTTCACGATTTAACAAAATAATTTTCAGGTCTGTATCTATAGTTAAATTTTTAGATCTCAAATTTATTCCTGGAATACCGAAATTTTTGGTAGCGTTGCTTATTCCATGTTTGAGTTTCCTACAAAACTTTCAGATCTGTGTCATAGCTAAATTTTTAGAATTTAAACTAATCCCTAGAATTTCAAAACTTTTGTAGCGTATTGCTTGTGATTGTTATTGAGTCTACAGAATTATTTCAATGGTCTAACCAAATTATTTTCAGATTTATCTAGCTGAATTTAGATACTTCAGCCAAAGTATCTTTTCTATGTGCGAAATAAATACTGACGTCTGACTTTGATTACTTAGCCGATATCACGACGATAATAACAGTAAGTATTTATGCGAAGCAAGCAAATGGCGTGTCGCGTGATAAACGTTTTCCAATGTCGTCCGGTCGTATGCAAAGATTCAGGATTTGTTAAAAATGTAATTAAAAAAAGGAAGTCACCCCCCCGACTCAAAGCGACTCTATGATTAAGCCTTCAGGCACAACTTTTTCGAGACTCGGTAAAAACCGCACGAACTTTTTTGTACCCGCCTTTGTACGCGGGTACGAACCTTCCTCCTTCAAAGAGGAAGGTGTTCCACTTCACGCGAACGATCCGCGTCCTTCCACGCGCTCAAGTTGCTATATCGAACGGGGTTAAATATAAGTATAAAAGTTACATACGAGAGAGAGAACCTATAAGTTCGAAGAAACGCGTGCTCGACGGTGAAGAGGTGTCGATGATAGCGGAGTGACTTTAAACACGTCCTGATGCTGCCGATCGTTGATCGGCGCCACGTGTGAGATATTTGCGGACAAGTATTTCTATGAAAAATATTCGCGTTCATGCGTACCCCGATCTATCCGCGCCAGAAGCCAATCGTCGAGATACCCACCGTGCGATAAACCTTTGCATCGTCGCGACGATAAGGTAATTCAGGCGGAGAAAATCGCGCCCACGATCCTCGAAAGATATTCATCCTCAACGATGATACTTGATGTCAATATGAACGATTAGTAGTAATTTGTGGGATCGAATCCAATCTCGGATTTGAGGCCCTCATCCTATATGTATACCTCGTTGAGAAATTAAACATTAATTAAAGCCTGATTTTCTATATTGTTAAATGTCAAAGGAACACTGCTAACCCAATCCCTTAAATTAAATGAATTTTGTTATTTTTAACTTACATATATGTCAAATTGTAATAAATCAATCCATTTCTGTAGTTAGTTTTGAAATCCATATTAACGCATGCACTTACAATTAGTAAACAATAAGCTAATTTTCAGATAAAATTAATGCATTTTTTAATTAAAAATTTAATTCCATGTTTTTTATTAAATTAACGACATTTGTGTAGAAGCAAGGGCGATAGAAATAATTAAAAATAAATTAAGTATAATTTAACATAATGAATTTAATAGAGAGTGTACTTAACTTGGGATTAAATTTAACCTACTGATAATAGTAAAAATGGTATTTTTCTAGCTATGGTTAATTATTGTATTAAACTGGTTTTATAGTGAGCAGTTTTTAAAGTTTATACCATTACAAAATCATCAGTTGAGTGATTGACCACAGCTAGAAAAATATAATTTTTACATCAAGTTAACGAGATTAAATCTACACTACAAGTTAATAAGAAAATAAAAAGCCAAGCCAATATAAAAAAAGCTCAGTTTTTCATTTTCTAATTAACTTGTGATTAGACTTAAGCTGAAGGCAATGCAAAAATTATATTTTTTTTAGCCGTAATTAATTACTAAACTGACGATTTTATGATAACTTTTAAATTATCACTAGAAAACCATTAGCTCAATGATTAACTAGAAAAACACAATTTTTACATTATCATTAAATGAGGTTAAGGCTAAAGTACAAGTTAACTGGATAATGAAAAACCAACCCTAAAAGATCTCCTACTTTGATAGAAAGAATTGAGATTAAAAAAGTATTAAAACTGCGAGATGAGAAAAAGTAAGAATTTAAAGGCTCAAAAATATACGATCAAGCAAAATTGATGAAGAGTAAAAGCACAAGAGTGAAAGAACAAATGTGTGTATAACTGAGAAAGACAGGTTGAAAGGCACTTTAACTCTCGCCACTTGATAAAATACTGTAAAATAAATACAAGGCGCTTTCTACTTAATGACACAAGTCAACACAACCATTATTCTATCTTTCTTAGCATTCAATGAATAATAAAAACAGAATGACATTTGTGTTGACTCTCGTGCCACCAAATGGAAAGTACCTATATTTGTCGTCAGCGCGAACTTGAATGCGTGGGACGAACGGCGCTGATAAGAGCCCCAACACTTCGGCGGCCACCGTAGTAAAATCCACGTAAGCGCGATCGCGCGCGGTGGTCGTTGAAGTGAACGCGAGGCGACACGGCTGATCGCGGCGGCGCAAATAAAGCATGCGATAATAAAAAAAAAATTCCTCCCCGGGGAATCCCGCGTTCTCAGCCATTTTCTTCAACAGACGCACGTCATCATCGTACACCTCCGAAATGACCGTGGGCGACCTGGCGGCGTGGGCCGAACGTTCCGCAACTCGTCCGCATCGTTCGCAAACGTTCGACGATTATGCCTACGTAATTACGACCAGTACGGCACGGCCGTCGGATTCTGGCGTCTGTTTGTCCATTACGGCGATCGATGTTATCGTGCGCTGATTATCGTACGGCACATTTCGCGGCTAAATGCGCGACACGATTCGCGAGCTATGGCCTTCTGTCAAGGATGAATAATACCTACATCAAACAGTGTTTCGGTTTGACTTAAACTACTGCTTCGTCGTTCCCCCAATATTCATTTTTATTAATTATTCTGATAATAAATAATCATCAGAGAGAGAGAGAGAGAGAGAGAGAGAGAGTTTAATATGAAAGAGCCAGTCGTCGTGAAATATATTATTATTTAAAAGAGTATAGAGACCTGCGAGAATACTTTATACAAATACAAACTTATGGCCTTGTCGAGATGGAATAATACCTACGAACATCGAACGGAGAGCGTCTCGATTTGACTTAAGCTGCTGCTTCGTCAGTTATTCCCAAGTTTATTCCGTGTCGTTATTTATTCTGACAATAAATAATCACCAGAGAGAGAGAGAGAGAGAGAGAGAGAGAGAGAGAGAGAGAGAGAGTTTAGTATAAGAGAGCCAGTCATCGTGAAATCTATTATTTATAAAAATAGAGATTCGCGAGAATATTTCGCGCAGATAACTCGGAGCGGATTGCCCTGAGAAAAGGAGAGATAGACATAAGCTATTATTTAGCGCAGAGGTGAAGTTATGTTAATGAATCCAGTTCCGCAAGGCTCGCTTGTTGTCGCTAACGAGTCAGACGACGTATCAAGTCAATTAGGAAAATCACCTAGCGAGAAAGGAGCGTATCGGAGCGTATCGGTTCGAGAGGAATAGAGAGATCGCTCTGTGCGAGAGATTCCGTTCGAGGGTTTTGACTTCTCGCGGAGAGAAGCGGACTCCGCGCGCACAGACGAAGGGTTCCGCGAGTTTTGACAGTTGGGCTGTCAACGTATAGAAAGAATCGCGACGGGTGTCGCGTTGACGGGAGCGGCGGGAATCGCGCGGCTCGGGGCGAAGCCACGGCGACGAGGCTCGAGGGCGACGGCGCCAGGCGCGCTCCGCTCCGTCGGCGACGGGCGCTCGCTCGCACTCACCAGGTGTTGCACGGTGTCGAGGATCTCCCGATTGGACATCTGTTCCACCTCGAGCAGACCGATCAGCACGGCGAACTTGAGGCTGTCGTTCATCGTCATCGCCACCACCTCCTCGGGCCGCTTGATGTCACTGAACGGCGGGCTCTTGAGGTCCGCCATCGCGACGGACGTTTAACGCGACCGCGTCCGACGCGTCCACACTCGCGAGATTACCGGGGGGGACTAGGATCGCTTCACACGAGGTTACGGGTCCTATCAACGGGAGCGTTTCGCCGTCACATGATAATACAACACAAATTGATCTGCCATGTTAGAAAGTGGGCACTGTTGTGAGCACTGCCAGCCGCGCCGGCCCGAATGTTCCTAGGCGGCACCGATACACGCACACACGCATACTCTCACAGTCTCACACGCACACACACACCGACGCGACGGCGCGAGCTACGCCGGCGCTGCGAAACGTCCAGCGGCGGTGGCAGAGCGTCGCGACGGCGCTCGGACTCGCCGTGATGCGTGGCGCATGTGTCGGCGCGCCACGCCGCGGAATTTACGAGGATATAGGAGCGTCCGTCAATGCTCGACACTGTTTACGCGGTAATGATCCTTATTACGTTAATTAACTCTATCGTTCATTCACCTATTCAGAGATATTGGCATACTTGGCTATGTTCAGTTTCTCTATACGTTTAAATTGTTTAATATCAAGTCTGTTTTTCTTTTTTTAATTCAACTATAGTGTATGATTTATTTATGCTTGTTTTTACTGATATAGATTAACCTCGGTCTTGATGCAACTTACTCTTTGTTTTTTTTCATTCTTAAAACTAGAAAAAATGAGGTTGAGATTAAAAAATTAAACTACATTGGTAGAAATAAAGAATTAAAGAGATAAAGTCCAACAGAAAAATAAAATCTACCAAACTGATATTATTCCAACTGGAGTAATATCATAATTAAATTAATTGTCAATTTAATAATAATAATGCTATAAGATGCGTCTTGAAAGACTGTAAAAAAATTATTGTAAATAACATTTATTATGTCATTTAAAATCGAATATTAAAATGTTTTTTACTTTCCAGCTTTAAAAGGTCATTCCTGATATATCAATTTAACACGATAAGCCTTATAAATATTATAATTTAAAGATTAAACTAAATTAAATCGATCATCGATAAATTGTTTATACAATTTAATATTTTCTATTTTTCCAAAAGAATTTGGAATAATAATATTAAACAGCACAATCAGTATAAATACGAATTTATACTGATAAATAAAAAAATAAAAAAGAACAAGAGTAATTTGACAGTCACGTTTTTGGAGTAAGCCTCTTTCCAAAGTTCAAATTTCTCCCTTTTATTTTCCTTTAAATTTCATGCTTTAGCCAGATTCGTCGTTAATTAATCAAAGACTAATCTGGCATTACTGCTCGTTGCCAATTATCGCGGCGATGGAATTCGCGACGCGCAAACCGACCAATTTACGGGTTCAACTTCAAGACGTCCTTGATTGAACGTCACTGTCATCAGATCAGTGCTGCACCCTACCGGCGGTTTTTCGCGTCAACCAGTGGAGCACAGTGGACGCATACATACTCCGATTTGAGGCTCGCCCGACGCTCGTCACCGTGAATCACGGCTGATCACGGCTGATCACGGCTTCCGCTGCCGTCAAGACTGTCCGAGAGTGTTCCCGTGGCGTTCGCAGCGGAATCGCAGGAAAAATGGCGACGGAGGAAATTGACCGAGCTAAGGTACTACAAGAATTCTTTTCCGCATTTCACGCTCCTTCGACGCGTCAGACGCGGTTTCGTTGAACAGTCGAGACTTGCATGTGTCTCGCGTCATCCTCCAGTTCCGTGTTTCATTCTATTGGCATGCATTTAATGAATTTCCGTCCGGGCAATACTTAAAACGCTTTGCTATCTTGTGAAATAATCAATATATTCTGTTCGTTGGTAGCGAATACTTTCTCCTTCTTTCTCTCCTTTTTTGTTTTCGAGCATTTTTTTACATTGTTTTGTGTGTGAGTACAATCGGATACTTAAACTTATTGGGTCATGTGTTATAGTTACAAGGGTGTTGGCTGTTACGCATCATAACTGTATATTGAATTGAGTATTCCTTCACGCATCTATTTCGTCCATTTATGGATATAGCTTCCTCTTTCTCTTTCCCCCTTTCTCTCTCTCTCTCTCTATCTATCTATCTATCTATCTATCTATCTATCTATCTATCTATCTATGTATCTATCTATAAAAATGATAATACCAACATATAATTTCTGTTATTAGATTGAGTCTATGCTACGTACACTAAAATTATCTGGTCACGTTGGATTTGACAGTCTGCCTAGTCAATTGGTGAATAAATCAGTGCAAAATGGATTTGTATTCAACATTCTCTGCATTGGTACAAAGTCTTAACTTTATCTTGAATAAATTCGACTATATTATGTGTTGAGTTAAATAATTCGTAGCAAATACTAATTTTAATTTATTTGGATAGGTGAAACTGGACTCGGAAAATCTACACTTATGGATTCCCTTTTTAACACGAGCTTTGAATCTAGTCCCAGCCCTCATAATCTACCATCCGTAAAACTTAAGGCACATACTTATGAATTGCAAGAGAGCAATGTCAGACTGAAACTGACAATTGGTGATACAGTCGGTTATGGTGATCAAATCAATAAAGAGGACAGCTTTAAGGCAGTCGTCGATTATATAGATGCGCAGTTTGAAGCTTATTTACAGGAAGAGTTAAAAATCAAACGTAATCTGGCAACCTATCATGACAGTCGCATCCATATTTGCCTATATTTTATATGTCCTACTGGCCATGGGTAAGTGTGTATTATATGTTAAATTTACATATAGCTTTGGCCATGAGTATAAAGAATCTTCAAAAATTATTGTAAACATTCTATACCCAGTGAAAGAATTAAAAGACAGTTTTATCAGAAAATAATATTTTTATAACAATATTAATACTTTTTGTTTGGCTTTTACTATTGCCAGTACTCTTTTGTAAGAACAAATTTAGCCTTTATACTTATGGCCGAAGTTGTACTAATGAATTATGAAAGTTGCTTTAATTTTACATTCTTATACTTTCAGCTTGAAATCTATCGATCTAGTATGCATGAAGAAACTGGATACCAAAGTTAACATCATTCCAATTATTGCTAAAGCAGATACAATATCGAAGACTGAGTTACAGAAATTTAAGGTGTGCAGCGTTTTTGCTGATGTTATTTTTGTTTACATATCTGTATAATCTTATTTATTATGATATTTATATTTCAGAGTAAGATAATATCTGAGTTGCAAAACAATGGAATACATATTTATCAGTTTCCAACCGATGATGAAAGCGTATCAGATATAAACGCCACTATGAACACTCATGCACCTTTTGCTGTCGTCGGAAGTACCGATTTCGTTCGCGTCGGTAATAAAATGATGCGTTCTCGTCAATATCCATGGGGTACAGTTCAAGGTAAGGTTTATAAATTTTATTTGTTACATTTATATATTATGAAAAATAGAGCTGAAACATTAAATATCCTTTATCTATAGTCGAAAATGAATCTCATTGTGACTTCGTAAAACTACGTGAGATGTTGATAAGTACTAATATGGAAGATATGCGCGAGAAAACGCATTGTCGTCATTATGAACTCTACCGGAAAAAGAGATTAGAACAGGTATGTTTTATTGTTTTTGTCAGAAAAAAAAAAACAAAGTTACCTTTTTCTTAAGATTTCTTTTAATAAACTTTTAGATGGGCTTTAGTGACGTTGATAGCGACAATAAACCTGTAAGTTTTCAACAAACATGCGAAGCAAAGAGATCCATTCATTTGCAAGAATTGCAACAAAAAGAAGACGAAATGCGCCAAATGTTTGTCGCTCGAGTTAAAGAAAAAGAAGCTGAACTGAAAGAAGCAGAAAAAGAGGTAACCTTATTAAACATACGTGTCTAAGCTCCAGTTTACTGTATTTATTATAAATTAATACTAATGTTTATTGATTTTTTATACATATAGCTACATAGTAAATTCGACAAGCTAAAGAAAGATCATACTGAGGAAAAGAAGAAATTGGAGGACAGTCGTAAAAAACTTGAAGATGATATATTGGAATTCAATAAACGAAAAACGCAATTTTCGCAACCCCAACATCATACGCTGACGTTAGGCAAAAGCAAAAAGAAGTAAAACGTATCTCATCATCTTTTTATACCATTTAAATATGATCATGCATTTTAATTGCATTATCCAATAGTAGTATTATTCTTTAATTATGTATATGTATACCTGAAATTATATTATTTTATTTTATTATAGTACACATTTTATATAAATATTCCGTATATATTAAATATATACCAAAAATTTTTTCTAGAAGTATACTCTAAGTCGCATATGTTTCGTATTATCTAAAAATAATACTCTAATAAAGACTAATATTTAATCAACCATATATTTTTAAATTAATTTGTAATGAATATGATTTTTTACGAAATATATGTTTAGTATGCAAATTAAAATATAGTATCCCCTTCCTATAATTATTATTTAAAATTAATTTTACAATAGCAATGTCGAAATAAGATCTTGCAAAAAATAACTGTTAAAGAAAAAACATATACTCTTATGGTAATTCTACAATGTGCTCTTTGTTTTCTGTTTCTTGCTATTTGTCTCTTGCTTTTTGACCAAAAGACAAGAGACAAACAGCAAGAAACAAAGAGCACATTGTAAAATTATCATTAATATCTAATGAATGTTTTTATATTGGGTATAATGTCAAGCGAAACTATTTTCGCGTTTCTGGAATCGTAATATTTGAGGAAAAAGTAATACGAATGGATGATAATCGTATTTGCTGGGTATAAAAGAATGTGTGTGATGTGCTATATTTACAAAATTTTTGAAAATATCTTACTGTCAGATATTTTATTGTTCAACAAAATATAACAACCGACATAATAGTTTTGAACTTAGTTGAATAGTTTAAGATAAACGTTGCGTACGATATTCCGCATATTAAACAAAGTCTTAAAATTTACGAAAGCCTAGTACAGTTATTATGAACAAAGACTAAACGTACATATATATGATATAATGCTATTGTAATACTTTATTAATAGCCGAATGATTACGACAAAACAGTATTAGACATTCATTTATTTTAAAATAAACGTTTATCAATATTATACTACTTCAGTATTCTGCTATAAATAATAACCCAAATAAATTTATAACAGTTTAATATCATCAAAACATAGTTTTACGCATCGCATGTTAGCGCAATATCAATAACGTAACCTATAATAATAAAAAGGCGCTTGACAAGTTATATATATAAATAACTTATTAGATATATGAATCATACAGTTTATATGCAAAATCCGTGATACAAAGCAGGTACGATTAACTTAAATCACTTATCTGTTGATATGTCAGAGCAACGTATTATTTACAATACAATTACATAATATGGCGAAAATTAGTTTAATTAGGCAGGACAGTTTTAAATTAAAAACTAACTCTCTGTTCGCAAAGTAATCGTATCTGCAGTAACATAAGGCCCTGTATCCAGTATATAGCTCGCTAAACTTAAGCTTATTGCATTACAGTGCAAATCGCAATTTAACACTGATTCTATTTCGCAAAGGATGATGGAACGCCGTGAACGGATTATTTTCATAAAAGACATCAATTTTCGTGAAAACACAACCACAGTCTTCCGACGCAACTGACATGCACGATAATGACGGATCACGGATGACGGTTTAATTAGCTTCAACGAGCCGACATTACTCGTCGCGTGTTTCTTTGCTTTGGTATTCCTTTGCACACTGTGCTCTTGCACTTCTGTAAGCGGAATAATTGTATGGTTTAATTATCTTGGCAATATGCCGACCATATTATCTGCCTTAACTTACCGTAGATATTTATATAAAAGTACAAAACATATGTGTGTAGATGTGTACATCGTGGCAATTATCATGAAGCATTTTACATATTAGGCGATACAAGTTATATTAGATATCGAATGCTAATGTTTATCTATAAATTTTAGGGTCGGCTGAAATGAGAAAATCATAAGACGACTGAAATAAAATTACGAAAAATTAATAACTTATACTTTAATAAGTACTCTTGTTAGGTATAAACATATATCATTCTTCATTGATATATGATTACGTAAATGTACGGTAATACAACTTACTCGCAAAGAAAAATTCAATTATCGAGCCTGCTCGGCAAATTATATGTTATAGGCGATTCCTACAATTCGGATGTGTGAGAAAATTATACACAGAAAATTAAGCCGACCCTCTGTTGATTATTATAATATATGTATAAGTGCCTGATCGCGTGCTTGCCGTAAAATATGGCAGTGCACCGTAAGAATATATTATAGTTTATAAGATATATAGCAATGACCAAAACGCAGTTAAGAGAAAAATACTTAAAGTTGAATATTAAAAACTACGTAACAACAAATCAATAATAAAATGTAATATTATCTAGTTCGACTATGAAATTTTTTTTAAAGCCGTTGTAATTGTTACGTCAAAAAAAAAAACAGTATATGTTAGAACTGCAAAAGAAATTTCTTTAAAAGAAAAAAAAAAGATTAATTGATCTTTTCTAAGGCATGACACGGACGATTCTCTACCTGAGATTTTAATTGCACTTTTATTCTTTTTATTGCACATAGCTCATCAAGCGCAGTACACGCTTGAGCTTAAGGATATTTATTCAAAAGTTCTTATTATTATTTGTATTATTATAATGATTATCGTAATTACACGATTTCGAAAATAAAGTTTGGTCATTGCGGTCTTAATGCTACCATTACCGAGTGCAGCGCACTTGCTAGTCGAAGAACTTCCGGGTAGACGCTGCAAACTTTAGTGTCTTAAAAATTCGACATGAAAGCGCTTAGTTGATTGATTCCTGATGCGATAATGCATACAAATTCAAATAGTCAGTCTTCTGAATCGCAGACGTTGATCTTAAGCTGTAATCACATTACAGATTATCGGTTACGGTAGTTAGTTAACAGTTCTATTTTAGCGCGCGTACGGATTAACTGCATCGTGATTGACTAAAATAAAACTATCAACCGGGAATTGCAACAGACAGTCTGTAGCGTGATTACGGCTTTAGGTACAGAACTCTGACTATTCGTTCTCCTTAAACGCTAATTTACGATGTGCTATTTTGCTTCCTGTTTCTTGTTTTTATCTTTTGCCTTCTTCGCAACTTTTATCGACAATCGTGTTTCTTGACACGTGTTTCTTACCTCCTTCGAAATTTGTCAACTTTTATCTCGAGCGACAAAAAAGAAACAGAATAAAAAGTAAAAAATGGTAAAAAAAAAAACAAGAAACAGGAAGCAAAGAGCACGCTGTAGATTATAATTTTAAAAAATCGCGACGTGTGCGTCTGCGAGGATGATCTTTGACACTTGCATGCTCTTCAACCACCTGACATACGGACTTAGTAAAAATAGCAATCCCTGTGCTTCTCTATACTGTGATCAACATATTACGTGCTTACACGTAACAAATTGTACGCGCAATTCGGGATTTACAAGTAGGTACGAGAGTGGTAAGAGGTATCTTTGAATCGGCGTATATATAGACGGTGCGTGTACCGGTGATTTCTTGTCGTAGAGAGAACTCGTAAATAGCGTATGAGTATCGGAATGTGCATAAGTGATCGCAAGGCGCTTAAAGGCGGCTCCTGCGGTGCCTCTCTCTTCCCTCGAAATCGCCAACTCATCGAACATAGTTGGAAAAGAAGGAATGTATCGTGAGTGAAAAATCGTGCGATAGATGCGTATTGCCGTCCTTACGGCAACCTGAATCGCCACGCGTCGTTTCACCGCGTTGCTTGATGCGTAACAGGTCGACGCGGGACGTCCTATCGACGTGCCCGGCGGGATGTGATAGCGGTACTGCTGGTGTACCGGGATATATCAATTCGCACGTGCGCCAAGCGTGCGTGCAGCTTTACGCCACGTGGGGCCCAAGAGGCCCACGTCGCGTGATCGTGGGCGCATGATTAGGCACTACGTGCTTCTCAGGCTAGCGACCGACGTGAGAGGCTCACCTCCGACGGCGGGCTACGATACTTGGCGCGAATGTGCAAGAAGCTGTCGTGCTTGGTGCCGCGAGCGGGTGGCGGCGTACCCTCGCGGTTGAGGACCCTCACCTGACAGGGATCGTGCCTCGCCAGAAAATGCTCCAGTGTGTCCCATCCGCCGCCCACTCTCACCATCATGTGTCTCCCCTTGAGAAGCTGCGAACACGTCAGCGGTGCGATCATTAGTGGCTGGCATGGCCGCATCACCGCAACATGATAGGAATAAAGGAAAAGAGACCTCGAGTTACGGGGAAAGACGGAAACTTTCGAATTACATGGCTTCGAGGCACAATTCGAAATATTGTACGAAAACAATTCGTCTTCACACAGAAAGAATGATTTTGCTAAAGCATTTAAATTATACTAGATTAAAAATTTGACTAAAAATAATTTTTTGTTAAACCATTAAGATAATTTAGGATGCACAAACGTTCTGAACAATGCTGCAAAAAGTTTTGACAGTCTAGTAATTAGTTTGAGCGCCCTATATAATCATTTTGATGATCTACAATTATTTTCAGAGCTGTATCGAACTAAATTTTTAAATACTTTAACAAAACAGTTCTTCTCGTGTAGAATTTTAATAATATTTAATGATATTTAACATATCACGTTGATAGAAAAGTTCTAATAAGCATTAAGGTTGTAATGTTCTAAAACTCATATCATAGTTATATAACATCGATTTTGATAGTTTTAACTTTGCAAAAGAAATGTGTTTTTTTTATAATATATGTATATGAAGATAGATGTACTTACTCTGATAAAGACGTTACGTCCCGCGATATGGTAGCGACCTTCGCCGACTTTGCGCACCTTCAGCTTGGAGCATTTATTCGACGGGCACTGGCAGAGTCTCTGGACGGCCTCGGTGGCTCTTCGCACCTGTAAACATAAAGAAACACACGATGCTGGAGATATTGAGAGGTGTGCTCCAAACGAAAGAATACTGGGTATATATTTAGACGGGCGTTTTTTGTACATCGAGCCGCCCGCCTTCGTTATTGTCGGACGACCGAAGAATGATCGACTGTCACGCGAGATAAATCGCTTCGACGTGTCGTCACAGCGAGGAGCAAAGGGCCGAAGATACGCCGCGGCGCGTAACTTCCGCCGCTTAGGCACGCAGGAATCCGATACGCGCGTGCAGATGCATATACGTGGAAAACATACGAGAAAACGCCGATTCCCATCGTCCGTACACCTTTCTTCCCTCTCGTATACGATAATGATTATAATGCAAGCGCAACGTCTGTAATAACACGTAGGACTAAGGTTTTCTCAACGACATGCGAAGATACGACCAAAACAACGCGTGCGTAGAATATACATCGGTGAAGCTACATTAACATTAATAGGAAAGATATAAATTATTCAATCTTCCGCATATGCATTTCTTCGTGCGACACGGAAGCGAGCAGCTTCCTCTGCACTGCACATCATTATTTTAATCTTTCAAAATCGGAGTTCCGTTCCCAGCGAAAAAAAAAAATGCTTCTTTGGTAATTCAAATTCTGTTATGTAATGAAATTCAAAAAGATATTCTCGACAATGTCATTGAATATGGAGGACATTTTTTTGATAGAAGACAGGATGCATTCAGCATTCGAAACTTATCTCGAAGAATCTATTGTATTGTAAGTGAAATGGGGCATTTCGATACCTTGCGATCGAGCTCTGTTATCGGCCCAGTGTGTTCCGGTGGTTCGGCCGACGACGGTGATGGCGAGCTCGACGGTGACGGCACTTCGTCAGGATCTTCGACGCTACCGCGCGACCAGTCATCCTCGGTAGTGTCGCTGGGCACCCCATCACTTCCAGTCGGCCCGTTATCGCTAACGGATCTTCGCATTTCAGATTCATGTGTAGCACCGGTTACCGGGTCCAACCATCGAGTGCCCGTTGTGACTTCAGACGCCGAGCTAGAATTACAATACATTAAAATTTACATCGAGCACTCCAACGCTTTCGGAAAATATTATTACATGTCGCACACGTATTAACGAGAAAAATTAATATTTTTAAACCTAATCTATAATGTGCTCTTTGCTTCTTATTTCTTGCGTTTTACCACTTTGTGTATTTTTTGCCTTTTTGTCTTTGAAAGAAAGAGACTAGAAACAGAAAGCAAGAGCACATTGTAGATTAGACTCTTTGTATATCTTCGTGATATATCAAACTGTCCGAATAAAAACAATTATCTAAACAATTCAATAAAGTGAACGGTACCACCCAACTGTCTACAGAATAACACAATGGCTCCGACACACACACACACACCAGAAACTTTGCATATGCTATAAAATTCAACCACTCCTATAGAGTTGCGCGACTCGAGGTTTCCTTCTCAGTAACACCACGCAGAATTGCCCATTCAGTCAGTGACTGTTAACCCGATGGGGAAATCTGTCGTCGTAAACGAGCTGGAATATATCAGAGTTCTGGGCGCTGTTTCGAATGCGATGCGCGTAAGTGAAACAGAAATTATACGAACGAGAATAACTTATGCATTCCGTAACGGTTAAGTTTCGGTTTCTTCTCGTAACATCATCGCTTATCGACCGTTACGTTGCAGGTAACGCATTGAGAAATAGTGCAAGATAGGTTGCAAGATTAAGCAACCCGATAATTCGTGAGACACATTGTCATGGGCGTAACCAAAGCGGGGGGCAGAGAAGTCTTCCTAAATCTTAAAGAATAAAACTAATTAAAACGGCTTAAACGGATTACGCTTAATAAGCATTCACAAAGAATTAATTATATGTAGAAAGGAGAAAAGAATTAATGGTAAAAGTAATAATAAAATAAAGTAGATTAGTTAATTAAATATGTATGATTTTGTGATTTCATAGCTAGTAATTATTTAAAAATAATAATATAAAACAAAACGAATTCAACAGTCCATACTACTTTCTCCCGTCTCCCAGTTCAAAAGTTTCAACTCTCTCAACTCTAATTTTCTCCTCCTAAATAAAATCCTATAGCTACGCTCATGCGCATTCTCGTTTATCAAAATATTCCCTATTCATATATCACTTTTATCAATAAATGCCTTCATTTTTGAGATTCCATAGAGATAGTATTCGTAACGTAGAACTATATCGTTCGCTCTTACTTCAAAAATTACAATAAAAAAATTAAGTTTCAGATAGAAGAGAGGAAAAACTACATTTCAACTTGATAAAAAATTATTAATCAAATAATAACAAAAAGTATATTCTCAATATAATCTAATATAATTTTGTCATTTTTGTTTCGTAACTTTTAAAAATCATTCTTTTTAAGCGACGATTTGATGATTTTTATAAATAACTTGTAACGTACGTATATTCATGATAACTTGAAAATCACGTTTTTTCAAGTTATGTCATTTTTTAAGTGAAGGAGCGATATATGGTATATGCATTCATTTATCGATAAAAGTGAAATATGAATCGAATCTTGAAAACTACGATTTGTTTACCTGCTATGTTTGATCTTCTCAGGCGGTGTTCTGGGTGTTGCGGTCGGCGATGGTGACTGGAACTGCCAAGAGACGAGGCTGCTATGTGATATACCGCTATCGGACAAACAGTGAAGATCCCTTTCTTGTTCGGCTGCGATTTCCCTCTCGAGTTGCACAAGTCCAGGCGGTTCCAGAGAATATCTAGCCGCCAGTCTCGCGACTTCCAACAGACACAGCACAACATTCCGTGGTTGACCATGCAAAACTATAAAGAGATGGATCACACTTGAGATCACACTTGAGATCCTATAGAACAGAGACTAGTCACGAGCGATTTTATCAAAATCCTACGAGAGAGAAAGATATAGGTACATCGAGAAAAATTTCAGATTGAAAATAAATAAACTAAAAGATTTTGACCATATCCATCAGAATTATGATTATTACAACTAGAATTATATAGATTCAACCAAAAATTCTGATTTGTTTAATTTCAACTAGAATTCCAACTAATGCAACCAGACTCTTTTTCCAATATATATATGTGTCTCCCTGTATAGCATTTCACTCTAATTTATATTATCTCATTGTATAATTTTAATTAAGATTATAAAGTGTAATAGTATAAGGTATAAGTTACAGTGAAATAATTTAAAGAGAAACAATACATACATGTCTTTCTTTCTTGTAAGATTTTGATAAAATTATTCGTGGTCATACTCTGTTATACGATTTTTTAATCACACTATATACGCGCATTGTACGTGTAAAAAGGCAAAATGTGTCATTAAGATTTATTTATTATTTATACGTTATCGTGGTGAACTCGATTTTATTCAGGTCAATGCTATCCACGATACGCACAATAAGACATTTTTCTCAAGACTTTCGTGGCTGCTTTCCGTCACGCTCGATTACATCGTTACATAATTTATGTAACCGCATTGTTTATTTCCGAGTAAGTAATTAAACTTGATTAAACGAGAAAGTCCGGCCGATCTTCGAAGAGGTGTAAATTCGCTCCACTTTCCTCGGAGTCGCGCGTGATCCACGCGGCAATCACTCTCGCTTCCCGTTACAACCAAACCGATTTGCATACCTCGTTTTATGCCAGATCATAATTTATACGGCACACGTTCCTAGTGTTCCTACACGCGTGTCCACCACGAGATTGTGCGAGTCAATTACAGTGTTTCCGCTAATTGTCGCTCATCAATTTAATCGGGTGCGCACTTAAATCTCATCTCGTTGAAAGTCGTTCAATAGAGCAAATGCGTAGACCGCATTCTGCTTAATTCGCATGCATTAAAATTAATTGCGTTACCAGGCCTTACCGAGATCATCGCTTTCAAAGAGAAGATTCTCGTGGACACCCAACCGCCGACAGAATTGTATGAAATTCTCCATGTTGTCGCGGGAAAAGAAGCTGCGACGGGCCGCATTCTCCCAGCAGCGACCACGTATCACTGGTGCCGGCTGAAATAACACTTTTCTATGTTTCTGCGAGAGCAAAACTTTCCTTCCTCCAAACTTTCAAAATTATATCAAAACAAAATTATTCTCAATTACAAAATTCACTTGACGCACTGAAAAAAGTCTCATAATAACTACAATTTAATATTATCGAATTTTTTTTTAGTGTAATACACTGCGTATTTTAACAGTTACATGTCATTGTATATAATACGATTATTTTAGAAAAGAAATTATACAATATATTGTCCGCCGGAAACACATCATGTTAATGCAAAAATATAAAAATTTAAACTGAGACACAGGATGATTTCTAATAACTTACTCCTTTCGCTCGTCCCGCCTCAATAGCAGATCTTGCCTTTTCCTGGATAACTCTTGCTAGTCGACACACAATCACTCCATTATCAAGCACGTCAAAGAAATTGTCACCCGTTATATGATCCACATCTGAAATTCGAAGATTACGAAATCAGCTTAGCCGTCGCGTCAGCAATAATTCGCACGCACGCGTGAATATCCCTCGGCATAAGCTGCAAGTATCTCTCAATGACATTCAAGTGGCTCGATGAAGTAATAGATTGTAACAAAAAGTATAACCCGCTATTTACGAGCACTTATTCAGCCTCTAATACAAATTGAAAATTATTATATCTCATACTTTATCTTTTCTTACTTTTTCTCAATAAATTTGTTGTAGTATTTTAAGATGCTTATTAGTATCATTATTAAATTGATAATCAATCTAAAGGATATTACTTTCGACTTCAGTTTATGTTCGTGTTTCAAGTTCGACAAACCGAATTAGCGCACAGTCTATAGAACTGAAAAATATATTTAAAAACTTTATAGGAATATTATGCATCAAGATTCAATCAAATATAAGATTCTTTGTTTTATTTGTTATTTACTTATTGATTCATTTTCCACTTTTTATTGTTTTATTATGTTATTATTGCATGATTGTATCATTTATTCTATAACAAAAATTAAGTAAATTTACGGTGAGACTTATAAGTCCGAATTACGTCAATAATTAAAAATCTGTATACAATTTCGCGAAAGCAGCTATTCGACACGATCGATCGATATCGTGATTGTAGTAATCACCCATAAGTGTACCAGACACAACAGTGAGTCGTCCATGTATTGAATGACGATCAGCGAGCCGGTTTGGTCGGTCGAAGAAGCTTGTTTGAAGAAGCAAATTTACTACGGCGGTGATCGTGCAGTAAATCATTTATCAGTAGCGCGCAACGCTCAAGGACGACCCGTTTTAGTAGCAAGATCGCAAGATTGGCAACTGGAAAGACAATGAGATCGGTTTGGGTCGGAACGGCTGATTCATCGTCTCACGAGATTCTGATTTTAATTCCCGTCATATCTTGTGATTTTTAGAAAGAAAAAGGGCGGCGTTTTGAAAGCCGCACGTCAGGTATCGTCGATTTGTACGACGTAGCGGGTCATGCGAGAAACAGTCAGGTCGCAATACTCTCACGATAGGTCGACTCATGCGTGACTATAAAATCGCTTTAGTTTCGATTGTTGCCGTAGGTACTAAAGCGCACAGATCAAGGACATATACGTTCCACTTTTCCGAGTAATAAAACTTTCCAATGTTGATTCCATCGAGAGGAGACCTCGCAAAATTTCCTGATAAATATTTGATAAATTCTAACTTTCTCTGGAAACGAGTTGATCGATTATATTCGTCCCTTACGGTGTTGTCTTGAGATTAAACAAATTGTTTAAAATCTCTTCTGCGAAGATCTTCCACATTTCCGTTCGCTTTGATCAACTTCAACGTGGAGGTTGATCACTCGCGTTAATCTGAGTCTTTCTTATTATTAGCTATCATTAATTATTGTCCCTATCACTTATATATCTCTCGCACCCGTCATTTCGCAGAGATCCTAACAAGAACCCTTATTTGCCTTGACAAATTATGTAATCTTCCCTGCAAAAAGGCGCTTCCATTCCTATTCTCTTCGTTCAACTTAACATGTATGTTAATTATATACGTTAATCCGAGTCTATGCTTACCATTAGCTGTTATCTATTACTAACCACGTATTATTTATTGCCGTCTCTTTTCCGTATTCATTATCCCTTAGCAATTCATGCGCGAATACAGCCATACGGTAGATGATAGAGTGAGCGCATCTGCACTCATCGTCGGCCGTTATCTATTACCGCCTCCTGTTCCGATCCGTTAGATCTCCCGTTTTAGGATACAAACGAACATAGTAGCGTTCTACGATCGTTATCCGATTATATATTATCATACCAAAGATACCGGAGCAATTTCACCGGATACGCAGGCAGAAGTAAGCAAGTATTTTTTTTCTTGGAAAACTGCGATTTTCACTTCGTCGCTTCGTGTTCGTGACTTATTTTTATTATCCATTGAAGTTATCGAAGTGGAGCGTGTCGACTGCTACAAATTTTATAGCTAAAGAAATCTATAAAAAAAAAACGTGATATTAAGAACGCGACTCTTAGATTAGATAGGACAGTGGTAACATCTTTGATATCAACGAAGTTATAATATTTGAAATATTGAAATATCGAAATCTGTGATCCACTTAACCCTAGAATGCTATCGCTATTAAATGTATACTATTGCTGTCAATATGTAAATTTTATGTACGAGAAAATAGATCACTCTTAATTAGTGTAATGCAAGTTTTCATCTCATGTTTTTAATGATAAAATAATCTAAATATAGTTTTTTTAGAAACACAAATAATCTAATTATTAATTTAAAAGATATAAAGAATAAGTACACTATTAAAAAATCAGTCGCGAAATGATACGGAGTATGTAGTGCAATCACGTGTTTCCTAATATACTAACTTAAATAAAATATATACAATAACGCAACAATAACATAAAACTGTTCGAAAATTGAAATTATTTATGACACTCTGTTATAATTCTAACTATCAAGAAGTATTAACTAATAATAGACAGAATTTTTAAAAGCTTATCTTTGCTTATTTCAACTTTTGATTGAACTTTCTATAAATGACTGAAGCTATACAGAAAAAATTATTTTACTATTTTAAAGCATCAACAATTTAGGTAGATACATATTTGAACATAATTTTGTTATAAAAATAATTTTGTAGGAAACTCAAATACGCGCAATGAACGATACTGCAAAAATTGTTGATATTGTAGTAATCAATTTGAGCGTCTTACATTTTTTATTATAAATAATCCAACAAATTAATTTTTAGATCTGTATCTAATTAAGTTTTTAGATATTTCAGTGAAATTTTTTCCACGTGTAGCTTGGTGATCGATGATTTCGCTTACTTGTACGTAAAATTTATGTATCGATAGTATTCTAGAATTAATGATGCTCGAATTAAACCCTAGTGTCAGTATCTTCTGTACATGTCGTTTCTCTCCCAAAATGGAGCGGTCGATCGATGAGTGAATTTAAGGAAAACTCGCAGAGTCGCGACACGATCCCGTAGACACCTATATACATAGATATAGAACGGGCACAATGGGAAATAGGAACTAGGTTGGGCCCTGGTGCAGCGATAGTACCTCGCAGATACGAATGGTAATGAGAATTCGCGAGCGCGGGCTCGTGACTCGACTCGGTAACAACAATAGGGTTGGTACCGGGGGCACGAAAAGAACGGGGTTTTAAACGCTGGGGTCCGCGTGTGTGGCGCAGAATCTATCACTGGCGTGCTTCGCGTTATTTTTTCCAAAACACGTGTATCGGAATTACAAATACGTCGTAGAAATAAAATCGATTGACATTGACTCCGCAACCCGCCGAACGATAAATCTTGGTCTCTTCTAAAGATTCGGTCTGGCTTCCTCTTTATGAACATTCGCAACAATAGACGTTCCATTTATTATGTGCATGACTGACAGCCACATATGTATAACCTTCAACTTGGAAGCCGCTTATGCAGCCGCATTACGAATTTAAAATCAGTATGTGGGATGAAAGATTGAACTTGAAATTCGCCAATTACAAGTTTGCCGCTCCCACATAGAGTCACGCAACATCCCAAATCGGCTCTATAGTCTCCCAAAAATAAACAGATTAAAAAGAATTGATAAAAAAAACTCGTTTCAATAGCTTTATTTTCCAAATCTCGAGATTTCAAGAATTAACCTTACAGGCAATTGAATTCTATCATACGATGTATTATAAAATAATGTATTATGAAAATAATTGAGACTTTTACGTAAAAAATAAATAAAATTGTAATCTTAATTGATTATATACAGGCTTATAGACGTTACCGTATTATTCTTTTTTTTAAGAACGAACGTGCTTAAATATCTTAGATTAATTGAATAGTTAGAAATAGGAAAATGACTTTTATTAGCTACGAATGATTAGGAGATCTCAGGCTCAGACTTGAGCACGGACGCGCGAGGAGTTCTCGTCGTGCAGGAAACTCGGTCACCCGGAACTACATAAGGCGACCATGTTCCCCGTCACCGAGCCAGATACATGTCCGTTGTATTATGTCGTTTCCCGTCTCTCCGACGCGACTTTAGGGCATCGCCCGAGGCGTCGCCTGGTCCATCATCGATCAAATTATCTGCAAGAATCTCGCGCGACACGTGAATCCGTGTATGGAATTAAGAAAACGTAGCGATACCTTGTTGTTAAGCGAGCTTCCTTTTGAATATCTAAATGTGAATGCTGGTCAAGCTTCTTCAATACAATACCTCGGTGCGCCGATATATCACGCAGAATGCCTCGTTTATTTCGCGTTACTAGATAGTAAGTTCCGCGTGTAATAGATAGTTCATGCTGGCAGATCGTGGCGTGCTCCAAGAGACAGTTTCGTCGAAAAGTATTGTATAGTAACTAATGAAAGTTATCCATGTCACATATGAGCAAGAGAGGGAACGACCTCTTTGTCTTTTACATTATATCATCCGCTATTTACGTTTTCTATCATTCCTTATGCCACTCACGTTCAGCGACGATATCGAGTGTAAGTAGAGAACTGAAGATTCAAGATTGTAAGTTAAGCGTCGCAACATTAAGAATTCGAATCGGAAGTCGGAACGTGAGAACTCTCTGAAAGTTAAGAATGACTAGAGTTTATAAACGTAGGTATACGTTCATTCAGACACAAAATTATTTTAATCATTAAAATTCTCGGAGTGTTCTCTAAGTAACGCTAATTATTCAGGGAAAGATCGATTTGTATTCTCAATGTATCAAATATTCCGGAACAGTAAAAGAATTTTCACAGAATGTTCAAATATTAGACACATTCAGGATTGTCACAAATTCCCCATCCTAAAATTCCATTCTGTTCCCCGATTTGCAGACAAAATTTTATGATTTTCCTTGATTTTCGATAACATTAAAAAATTTTTTGATATTTTGATTGTGATTTAAAAACCATTAAATATTTTGTTGAGTTTAATATATCAATGTAAATTATTATATT